GATAGTTGAAGGTTCTCTGAAGGGTATTTCTTTGTATATGAACTTATTAAACCAATAATGCTCAAAAGTGCGAAATTTACTATCCTTTTTTTCCTTTTTTTTACATCATAAGATGGGCTCTTGTTTGAGTTGTTAAATTTCTATTTGCCTTTCTTGATTTTTTTTTCTTTTTTTTTTTTTTTCTTGGGGGGCAGGGGGGGAAGGGCTATGGGGAAGGGCAGGGAAAATAAGAAACAATTTATATGGTAGATCTAAAGTTTCATTAAAATTGCTTATGCCCTGTCCCAGGCATTTTAAGTGGGCCATCTGTCTAAACATCTCTGCATTTTTTTCTGATCATTTCCTCGACTTATTCATGAGCCATGGGAGGGCTCCTTTGTAGTCTCCATGTAGCTGGTTCAGTCTACCCCCACTGAATACATCTATGTGCTTGCATAACATATCTTTTCACAGTGCTGGAAATTCTCTGAACTTGGTTCAGATGAATGGCCCACTTTCTGAAGGTCTTTTTTTCTCCCCCTGCAAGATTTGTATGCAGAAACTGACCTTGGTGGCTACAGAATCCAGCACATTATTCTTGATCATTTTACAGGCCACCTGCTGTGAAAGTTATGATGAAGGATTTCTTAATGATTCTTTGACCATTAATATTGTTTTAAGTCAATATTTCACTTTTATTTAACTGCTGAATAGGTAATTGCACAATTGAAAACCAGCTTTATAGAGTGTCATATAATGTGGTTTTCAAGCGCTTATAATCTTTCATAACGGGAGGATTTGTTATGATATTTTGGGATTTCTCTGTTTACGTAAAGTATTATGCAGCAAATATATCAGAAGTAGAGAGAATTTGTAAGTGTTTTTCACCTCAGCGTTAGAACACGTATTTTGAATTGGAAGTGAAAAAAATCTATATGCAATTTTCTGACCCTTTAGGAGCTGGTGACTTTTATCATAGCTCGTTACATCATCAGTGGTAATCAAGAGAGGGGAGTTTATTTGTCACAAAGTGCAGAAAATTGTAGTTTTTTGTTGAGTTCCTTCTATCCAATTGGTTGATGACAATCAAAATGGCCAGGGCAGAGTTATTATTTGATTTGCTTTTGTGAATGTCTGTTTTCTTTCATTGCTTGTTTTTGACTAGAATAGATAATAGTTTAACTAGTGACTGTTTTCCATAAGCACAGTAAGTGTGTGTTGATCTAAAATTTTTAGCAGTTGTCTGCTTTCCTCACTGAAAACTTGCAAAGAAAGCCAGAGCAATGATTTCTGGATTATTATAAAGCCATCCCCCTCTCTTGCGCATGGCAGTTGGGGGTAAAAGGGACATAATACACTGTCTAAAGTATGAAATAAATTATGGGACCATGACATTATCTCTAGCTGAACAAACAGCAATAAGGGTTGAAAATAAATAACTGAACAGGAAAATGATGCTGTTTTTCTTGTTGCACTGTTTACAGGTTTTTGTCACTTCAGTGCTTTGGAGTAAAGCCCTTATGACTTAGAGTCAGGCCGTCACTGTATTCCTCATCTGGGCTCCTATTCCTTGAGATACTTCCCTTTGGAAGGCAGTTTGGAGTAGAGTAGTTCAGAACTGCCCATTTTGTATGGACGGAGTTATAACACCCTTCTCCACCCATCTCCTGTTGTTGAGGCTGCAGTGCCGCCTTTGCTCTCTGTCTCTTTGTGTGGAGTGCTCCTGGCAAGGGACAGCAGCGCACAGTTCTCCATGGTCTTGCTTCCCATTCACCTGGCACTCATCTTGCTACGAAACTTCAGAGTCTTCTTGAAGCTGGTGATCTTTATGTGTGAGTGAAGCAATTTTTTGGATGATGTGTCATTTGCCCAAACTGGGAGAAAAAAGGAAGGGCATGTTGAATGCTGTGAAAGACGTACTGTGTGGATTCTGAACCTAGGGTTGGCGCAGAAGTGCCTCACCTTTTTTTGTGTCTTTTATGGTGGCAAAAATTACATTATTTTTATTTTCAGTAGTTTTTGTTTGGTTTTTTGTTTGTTTGTTTGTTGTTTTGTAAATAGAATATGTCGTATTTCAGCCCAATATGTAGAATTTTAAAAGTTCTACATTTTTGGAAATAGCCAGAAGTTTGGGGAGTTTCTGTGAACTAGTGTGAAATGTATTCAGAGATCAGATGTTTTCCCTTTGGAGGACTTAGAAGAGTTCTCAGCTAAGGAAGCAACCTTAGCCAAGAAGAAAGGTAATTTCCCAAGCCCTAGGACTTCTCAGATATTAAAAATAACCCACCACAAAACAACAGAAACCCCCCCCCAGAAGACCCCTTTCTTAGCCTGATAGAAGCTTCTGTATTTCTAAAGCAGTTCACAGGCTTGAGCAACTTCCTTTTCATATCCAAGAAACTTAAATATTGATCCTACATTTTATACTTTGAGATTCTTACTTATAAGACACCCCCCCCCCTCAAATCCCATCAAAATGGAGTCTACTACAAAGTAATTTTTTTGAAAGGAATTAGATTTAACAAAGAAAAAGTAGGATTGTCAGGAGCTAATACAAGTATCTGTCCTAGCCAGATAAGTTACAGTTACCACAGGCAAAGCTGATCAGCAAAAGTGAAAAATGTCCCTGTGCAAATGGATTTAGCAATTCCAGGAGGGAAGTACAACTTGTTGTGTAGTTGGTGTTAGGTGCAGCTCTGGACCTTGCCCTCCTGGCCACCAGTGTTGCAGAGAGAGGAATTATGTGGCTGTTTGAAACCCAGGCTAAGCAGTGATCATAGTCATGCCTTTCAAGAGGCGTGCATCCTGTTTGGAGATACACTTGACAAAGCTCAGCAAGACAGGACTGAACAAAAATAATCCCTGCTGGAGAACAAGACTGTCTTTCCTTTGATGGCCAGCAGCCAGATTCATGAGGTCACTTCCAGTCAAATGCAATATGAAGCAGGGCCGTGCCAGCAAGGCTGTAAGGAATCTCATGCCACCAGTGAAGCAGATCTTCTAAGCTGGGTGTGAGATGAGGTCTTATCTCTTGTATAAGAAATATAAAGTTGCTATAAGCCACTAAATCCTGTTGGTTGTTGAAGTGGAGTGCCATGGAGAATTTAAACAGGTGCTGCCAATGCCTTGCTGCATTCCTACTTACTGGTGTGCTGATATGATACCAGGAAGTGCAATGAAAACATCTTTCAGCTTGCTGCCTGCTACCTGTGCAGGAAATTCCTCTTCCTCTTCTTCAGGAACTCCCGTGTCTAATGCACTTCCTAGCAGCCAGTCTAAATGTTTTGGTGGCATACAGGAATTTCAGTATGAGGTGCTGAGAAATGACATTGCACCCAATAAACCATAGATAATTCCTCAGATTTGTTGTTTTGACAATTGCCAATATATTAAATGTGAAAGGTAACACTCGGCATCATTTTTGTGGAAATAGGTTATTTTCAATATCTGTTTTTGTGAACTTTTTGGGTAGTGATAGAGGTGAGCTAAGGTATTTGGTGAAATCTGGTTTAGACCTTACTTGGCTTGGGTCCAGGAGGAACCAAGAATAAGTATGCATCTATTTGTGTCTGATATATTTAGTGTTTCCATTTTCCCTTTTCAGGCACATTGAAAGGCACAATTTTTGGAATCTCTTTGCTTAATTAGTTACTCGAACATGTTCTTGCTCAAGTTTCAGGTGTCTAAAAATCCAACCCTCTTAAAATAATAGTGGAAATTATTAGCAAGTCAGTTTGTTATCCTTGGTGTTGTGAGAGCGAATTTCTCCTTCTGTGGCTTCTGGAGGCCTCACGGGTGCTTCTCCCTGTTGATTCCACAGGGACCCTGAGCACTCTCTTTGGGGAGATGTGGTTCACTGGGAACCTGAATCCTCAGGAGGATGCATGTAACATAACACAGAAAAACGTGTTTCCAAGTTTTAAGACTCCAAAAGCTGCAGTGAAATGGGGTAGTAAGCTCTAAAATATACAATAGATGAATATTATAGCAGAAATGATCCTTAGAAGAGACCTAAAGCTGGTGGACTTATTATCCCTATAGATTTCTTTCAGAAAAATGTAAGCATGTGTAGAAGAAAAGCTATACTAAAATAACATGTCTTTGTTTTATCGGAGTTTAAACTCCAACTTCTTATCTTATCTTTGGGATACATGGTGCTTGCTGATGGTGACCACTCATCAGGAAAGTTGTAGCATACCTTTGGACACCAGTTGTTATGGCAAAGTGGAAGAGAGGAGAAGCTAGGAGGAGAAAACTGAAAACAAATATACATTTAAATACAATAACTGAAAATTGCTTGCTTCACTCTGAATTTCCAAGAAAAAAGACTCGGGTCTTATTTCTCAGCTGTCAGATGTGTGCTTCTTTAAGCTAAAGTTGAAAAGATTCAGGTTTCTTGTATTACTTGACAACTGGTACAGCCACAGAAAGCTTTGGAAATAGGTATTATCCTGCATATGGGCTGTGATATATCATCTTTTTTTTTTAGTATGCTTGAAGGGCTCTGTGGATGAGATATTTTAAAATGTATATTAAGTATTAAATTGCTTTTATTACTTGTTTGGCTGAATCTTTTGTCTGTAATTGGCTTTTATTTAAGATTGACTCAGAGTTAGGGGAAAGACATAGTGATTATATTTTGCCCTTAAGAAGACTGCTCCAGCTATCACTGGTTGCTTTTCTCCTGCCAACCCACTTTATCATCTCATTTCTTTTTCATCCTGTTTGAGCTAATTCTGCAGCAAATGCTGGCTGTATTCAAGGGCCTCCTATAAGTTTATCAGCATACCCAGTGTGTCAAGGCAAATCTAGAAAGTAAGGGTGTATTTTTTTCTTATATATTGTTTGACAGAAAAATTGTATTTAGTATATTTTTTTCAAGTATGCTTTCCAACTGTGTCTATAGATTAATGATATTTTATATCTTTCTTGACCATCCTGTGAGGCAAGTGCTTCTGGTTAAAATGGGAGAAGCATGAAATCTCTGTTAAAAATTATTCTTCTGCCTATTTCTTTTTTAGAATTCCTATTGCTAAATCAAAGAGAAGGAGCTGGGAGCTCTCTGTGCGTCTCGGAGATGGAATTTACCCCGTTGCAGTTTCAAAGGATGGCTCATCATTTTCTGTAAGTTCTGCTCATTTTCTAAGAAATTCAGTGCAGTGAGTCAGTGTATATTATCCCTGACAGCTGCTAAAATTCTCTGTCTCTTCGGTGACCAAACGCAGATGTTAGTAGGCAGTGCTATGAATTGCAAAACAAAACCGTTCGTTAAATAGTGCTGGTGGAGTAAGTTTTTTCTCTGCTCGTGCCTGTGGAACACTTTTGTATCTACTTGTTTATTAAATTAGTTTTCTAAATAATGACCCTGTTCAGTGTTTTGTTTAGAAGTAATGTCTTATGCTCCACTGTAGATAGATGAGAGCAAGAAAACAAATGCAATGTCAACAACAGTTGCATTAGCAGAAGCTAGTGGTTAAAAAAAAGACAAATCAAAGAACCAAGCAATTTGAATAAGTAATCATACTGGAATGGCATTATTCAACAACTCAGTAGTAGAACTGTATGTGGTCATAGTAAAATGCCCAGTAGAAGAGCAGTAATACTGAGTTCCATAGTTCAACTGTTCAGTAGACTAAAGCCAAGACACAAGCTGGTTGAAGTATTGGGAAGGTAAATTTATAGAGAACTACTTTTTATGTCTGATAATGGTAATTCCACAACCAAAATGAGATTTATTTTTTTAAAATAGGCAGTTGATTCTTGTATCTAACTTGTAGGCAAAAGGTTTCAAAGGGGCCTAAAGAAGTTAATTTTTCTTAGTCATTGAAAAGCCAGGACTATGAGGAATCCCAGAAATCTTCTAGTTTACCTCTGATAGCTCTTTAATTTTCTTACATATGTTCAGTGAAGAAACTTTTCTGCAACATCTGCTCCATGACATATTTTATAGTCATGATGTTCACACCTGTGTTGCATTCAGAATAATGAGATTTCTTTGAAAAAAGGTATTTGAATATTTATTTCATATAATGAAAACAGTATTATCTCTGTGATTTAATTTTGCTTTGTTCTACTGAGATTCTAGATGTAATTTTCAGTTGAAACTGGTCATCTTTTCAGGTGGTTATTTTTGCTTATGTAAATTGAGGTCATGATAACGTAGGTTTTTTTAAAAAATTGTTTTGTTGGCCTAACTGGGGCAAGAAGATGCCTAACTAATATCCTTTGTCATACTACCTGTACTTCCATTCCACTGTGTTTTACATATACTCATGGGGAATGTGAGAGTTTTCTTTTGGAAAGAATTCTAGGAGGTCTTGAGCAACTTTTTACTCAGTACCTGATACATAGTGCTGTTCCATGGCAGTGACACTTGCCCTACTTGTGGAATGTTGCTTCAGAAGTAAAGGCAATGTCTGCAAGCAGCTTTTTCCCGAGTTGAATTTATATAATGCTCCTAACAGGCATCCTGTGAACTTGGATGCAACCCGTTCAAAAAATAAAACACCTCTACCAGATTTCAGCCCAGTTTAGAGCTGGACTGGCACTGCTCTGTGCCCTTCCAGGAGCAGTCGTTGCCCTTGGTCTTTCCACCTTTTTGGTTCAACATTACCGTCTAACAGCAGTCAGTTGGGAGCTGCTTCCTCCTGTGAGGGGTGGCTGGCTGCTGGTCACTGTGAGTGTTGCATAGGCCCTTGCTGCTGTGAGCTCAGAAATCTAATCCCCATAGCTGGACCTCCCCACACAAGAGCATTGTTTAGCACAACTAATTACATAGGTGTGCATCTGTGTGCATATGTGCACACACGTTTTTTGAGAGGTTTGAGCTGCGTTTAGTTACCTAGGCTCTCGCTTTTACTTGCCTACATAATTCAAGAAATACATCTTTAAACTGGACTAAGCAAAGTTTACAGACAGAGGAGGCCTAAGCATCCTTTTGTGCTTTTGACTCTATGGATCGTGCAGGTAAGTGAACACGCAAGCTTTCATGTGAGTTATTCCTAGATTCCACTTCTTAGAGCTGTAAACTGCATGGAGTTTCTCAGGAGGTATGAACTCTGAGAAGGGATGCTGAATATGTAATGCTATTACTGCTGGCTTATCACTTTAAATAGAGAAAAATAGTTCTGACCTATAGCACAGTCCAAACCTGTCTCTTGGTTTAAGTAGAACTGCTAAACTGTAATGTTGTGCAGCAGTGTGAGAATTACAGCTGGTATAAATCCAGTTTCACAAGCCATATATGGAGTCTGATTTCTGATCCTTTGGTTTGTTATTCAAACAGTAACAACTGTGAAAGTTCCTTCTTGTGTCCCTGCAGGATGTTACTGCTGTTACCATCTACTGCTAGGCCAGGAGGCAGGAGCACCCCTTTCACAGATGAAGGGGTGCCTAAACACTAGGGAGAGCTAAGTAGGGGTCCTGGGTGCATACCCAAAGCCTAGGCCAGAGGGATTTCCGACAGCAGCTTTTACATTTTAATTCTGCCCTAACAAAGGCTGTAGACTTGGGGAGAGATAATTCCTTATTTATTTGCATCTAGAAAATTCTGTAGCTGATGAAATAAGTCACAGCAGGTGGACTGCACAGTAACCAGAAGTCTATCTCACTTAAACCTCAAGGTGTAGGGTATTAAAATTTGCTCCAAAGCTTGGGTTTGTAAAAAGCATACAACTGCTATTGAATACCAGGGTTGTTTAGAGTTACACTTATTTTCGTTGTTACAGGATAAATAGCAGAGAATGTGTTATTCTTTTTTAATCATTTTATTTTGGCTGGTGTTCTCCTGTGATTGTGCTGCAGACAAGAGTGTATAGTAAACACAGCACTGTCAAAAATCTGAATTCTTATTCAGAGCTTCACAAAGGAAAAACAACTGCCTTAAAACTTCAAAGAAGGAAAAGGAATGAGAAATCGTGTTTCTGATCAGGTGGTATAAGACACCATCAGGAAAAAAAAGGGGGAAATTCAAAGCTTGCTTTATTAACTTTGCTGTCAGAAGCACAAGCCTCACTTTTTGAACTTCTGCATTTACTTTTTGCTATTAAGTTGCTGTGACACGGGCTCCTGCCTTTGTGGGTTGTGTCCCCTTGTGGCTTGTGACAAAGATAGCTGGATCTGTGGTGCAGTTAGATAGCCCAGTGGGAGGGCCACCTTCACATTCCCCTTCAGAAGTTTACTCCTGCTGCAAACTGTGCTTTGCAGCAGCAGCATTCGCATCCTGATTTACTTTGTTTACCACAGGGACTCTACCAACAGCGACTCTTTTCTTTTTTTTCTGTAACTCTTCTACTCTTGCCAGCCGTAACCTCAGCACCTCACAGTGTGCAGTGCTTGGCGCTCTGTGCAGGGGGTGTGAGCAGCAGGCCTCTCTGTGATTCCCGCTGTTTTGAGCGGATCATTCGTCAGCATTTCGGTCTGTGGATCATCTGTGGTTTTCTACGTTGATCACGAGATTGTTAATGAATTCTGCAGTGTTAACTGCTCATTGCTGCTCTTTATTTTTCAGAATTCTGAGTTTTGTAACCATCTGTTTTTAACCATTTTATTTGTATCAGGTCCTTGATGGGGGCTGGCTTTAGGCCACTTTAGCAGCCTTGCTTTCCCAAACTGAAGGATTAAAAAAATTAGTGGTCACGAGTGAGCAATGCTGTTTTCATGAAGCAGTGCAGACAAAAATATTAATTTTTGAGATTCCATCAGAGGTTAAAAATTTCTGTGAATCCTAATTTGATGTTTTTTCTTTTAAAAACGAAGTAGCTCTGTTTTTATTCTGAAGCCAGCAACGTATAAGTTAATCCTTAAGTTTGTATGAAATTACTGTGCTAGAATTTTCAGTCTGACAGTTGTTTTTTGGTGATACCCTGTCAACATAACAAATGCTTTTGCAATTAGAAGAGTCTAATGACCTGACTTGAGAATTAAAATTTAGCAACTTTCGTGGGACCTGCTTGCTTGTATACAAAGAACGTGCCAACTAAATTAATGTGAATTTAATTATTTTTTCTTTTGTTCTATATTTTAATTGCTAGAAGAATATTTAAACTAACTGCTTGTCATATGCACCACTTAGCTCTTTGGAGGACAGATGGTCAGATTCTGGGCTTTGATTTGTGTTCTTCTTATGCCTAAAGTTTTTCCTGTCATCAGTTGAATTAAAGATCTTAGTATCAAGATTACTGCTGAAATAGAAATTGAAGGAAGACAAATTGAAGGAAGTCTCCTTTACAAGAGACTAATGCAAAACAGCAACAAGCAGTGCAGAAGCATCCCACCACCAAACTCCGGAATGTTTAGTTCAGTTACAAACAGGAATCTTTTCCATCTTACCATTTTCAGTTGCCAGTGTGACTATCAAATGCGTCTGTTTTATGAGTTCATTGATATGAAGACTTGATTGAGTTTTGCTGATGAAGGTTGGAGTCTGTTCTTTCTTTACCAAGCCTGAGTGTTCTGCAGAGTACCGTAGTGTGGGAGAGACAAAAGCAAGTGGGAAGCTACACATATTGAGCAAACCTGGTAGCTGTGTGGTTTCCCTACAGCATATTAAATTGACCCTTCAAAGACATGCCAGCCACCAAGGATGGTCTGGTTCCATGTGGCATTGTTGCTTATTCATGTTGCTTATTCTGTTTATTCATAGAATGGTTTGAGTTGGAAGGGACCTTAAAGATCATCTAGTTCCAACCCTCTTTGGAACCTGTTTTTAGTTCAGTGAGGAATTTGTAGCTGCATTCTATGCAATAAATACAGTTCTTGAAAACTTTCTTGCCACAATCATCCATTTTCTGATTAGTTGCTGTGGTATAGGAATCCTGTCGTGAGAATTCTTTATTGCTGATTTGCGTGATTTCTCTGCAAGTAATTGTTGTTATTCTGCTTTTTCATGTTTGAAAACAATTCTTTCTGTTAGGGTTCTTCATCTCAGTAGTGGATGCATACCTTCCCACATCACTTAGCCTCATCTTCTCATCTGTTTAGTTGACAAAGAATTTCCAGATGTTTTCAGTTATAAAGTAGCTTCTTATCATTGAAGTTGTTTATTTTTTTTTTGGGGGGGAAAAGAAAAAGCAGAAGGTGAAATAGTTCAGAAGTTACTTTGAGCACATGGAAATTCGATGTAT